CAATACTTCTCTTTTATGCCTGCCTTATTTCGCTTAGCATAATATATTTAAGGTTTATATATGTTGTAGCATGTGTCAGAATTTCATTCCTTTTTAAGACTGAATTATATTCATATACACTGAGCGGCCAGATTATTATGATCTCTGAATGCATAATAAGCTGGCCACTCAATATATATATTAGAGGCCCAGTGTATGAATTTGTGCATGGGTGGGGTCCGACCAACCTGGCCAGGGGGAACGGACATGGGCGGTTGGCTGGCCTGCCTGCTGGACAAACTCCTGGTGGAGGGGACAATTTGCATATTGGCCTTTTATTATATAGGATTATATAGGATATACACTGAGTGGCCAGATTATTATGTGTCCAGAGATCATAATAAGCTGGACATTCAGTACATATATAAATATGTGTGTGTGTGTGTGTGTGTGTGTGTGTGTGTGACTTGTTTATCTATTCACCTGTGGATGGACCTTTTATTTTCTGAAATCAACTCTGCTTATATTAATCTAGCCACCCCCATTTTCTTTTCTTTTTATTGTTTAAAATATTACATATAGTAGTACGTAGTACATATATCACCTTTTTTTCCCCATTGACCTTCCCCAACCTCTCGGTCCCATGATCTCATCCCACTGCCCCAGTGTCTTGTGTCCATTGGTTGTGCTTATATGTGTGCATACAAGTCCTTTGTTTGATCTCTTTCCTTCCTCCCCAACACTCCCCAGCCTTCCCGCTGTAACTTGACAGTCTGTTCAATGCTTTACTGCCTCTGTATCTATCTTTTTGTTCATCAGGTTATAAATGTTCTTTATTTTCCATAAATGAGTGAGATCATGTGGTATTTTTTGTTCATTGACTGGCTCATTTCACTTAACATAATGCTCTCCACGTCCATCCATGCTGCTGCAAATGGTAAGAATTCCTTCTTTTTGTAAAAAAAAAAAAAAAAAGAAAAAAAATATATATATATGTATAGTATTGATTTTTTTTTTTTTTTTTTTTTTTTTTTACAGAGAGGAAGAGAGAGGGATAGAGAGTTAGAAACATCGATGAGAGAGAAACATCAATCAGCTGCCTCCTGCACATCCCCCCGCTGGGGATGTGCCCACAACCAGGATACATGCCCTTGACCGGAATCAAACCCAGGACCTTACAGTCCACAGGCCGACGCTCCATCCATTGAGCCAAACCGGTTTCGGCAGAATTCCTTCTTTTTCATATCAGCATAGTATTCCATTGTGTAGATGTACCATGGTTTTCTGATCCAGTCATCTGCTGACAGGCACGTAGGCTGTTTCCAAATCTTAGGTATGGTGAATTCTGCTGCTATGAACATAGGGGTGCATATATCCTTTCGGATTGATTGGTCTTTCTATTGTAGTTTCTTGGGATATATTCCTAGGAGTGGGATTACTGGATCAAATGGGAGTTCCATTTGTAGTTTTTTGAGGAAACTCCATACTGTTCTCCCCAGTGGCTGCACCAGTCTGCATTCCCACCAGCAGTGCACGAGGGTTCCTTTTTCTCTGCATCTTTACCAGCACTTGTCTTTGTTGATTTGTTGATGATAGCCATTCTGACAGGTGTGAGGTGGTACCTCATTGTCATTTTGATTTGCATCTCTCAGATAATTAGTGACTTTGAGCATGTTTTCATATGTCTCTTGTCTATCCTTCTGTCTTCTTTTGAAAATATTTTATTTAGGTCCATTACCCATTTTTTAATGGATCATTTATCTTCCTTTTATTTAGTTGTATAAGGTGCCTGTAGATATTGGAGATTAAACCTTTATCAGTCATAACATTTGCAAATATGTTCTCCCATACAGTGAGCTTTCTTATTGTTTTGTTGATGGTTTCTTTTGCTGTGCAGAAGCCTTTTATTCTGATGTAGTCCCATTTGTTTATTTTCTCTTTAGTTTCCTTTGCCATAGCAGTGGTATTGGTGAAGAAATTGATTCTGCATATGTCTGAGGTTTCTCTGCCTGTGGATTCTTCTAGTATTTTTATGGTTTCCTGTCTTATGTTCAAGTCCTTTATCCATTTTGAGTTTATTTTTGTGTATGGTGTAAGTTGGTGATCTAGTTTCATTCTTTTGCATATAGCTGTCCAATTTTCCCAACACCATTTGTTGAAGAGACTGTCATGACTCCATTGTATGTTCATTCCTCCTTTGTCAAATATTAATTGAACATAGTGATTTGGGTCGATATCTGGGTTCTCTATCCTATTCCATTGATCTATATGTCTGTTCTTGCGCCAGTACCAGGCTGTTTTGAGAACAGTGGCTTTGTAATACAGCTTGAAATCTGGTATTGAGATCCCACCTATTTTGTTCTTCTTTGTCATGTTTGCTGCAGCTATTTGCGGTCTTTTATGTTTTTTATTCCAGATGAATTTTTGTGGGAGTTCTTTATATATCTCTGGACACGGATTTTTTGTGAGTTACACGTGTTATAAATATTTTCTCCCAGCTTCCCACTTCATTTTCTTAACCATGTCTTTCAGAGAGCAGACTTTTTCCATTTTGTTAAGGCCAATGTCTATGTACTCTATTATTACACTGCCTTTATTACTATATTTTAAGTCTGGAAATCAGATAATGCAATTCTCCAGACTTGTGGGGGGATTTCAAAAACTATTTTGTGTACTCTAGGTTTTTTACATTTCCATATAAATTTGGGGGTAAGTTTGTAAAGTTTGTCAAAGTTGCCTGCACAATTTTTATTTTGATCAATTTGTAGAGAATTGATATCTTAACAATATTCAATTTCCTGATCCAGGACCATGTTTGTTTGTTTGTTCTACATTAAGTTTGATCTTTAATTTCTTTCAGCAGGTTTTTGTTTTTTCAGTATGCAAGTTTTCTTAAATTTATTTCCAAGTATTTCACGTTTTGGGAATATAAATTTTATAAACACACATCATTTCCATTTCCATTTATTCATTACTAGCATACAAGAATACAACTGAACTTTTGTGTATCTATAACTGTAACCCTGCTAAATTAAGTTCCTAGTTCTATAATAGGTTTATTGTAGACCCATTAAAGATTTTTTAAATACATGATTATAATATTTGCAAATAAAAATATACTTTTCCTTTTTGAACCAGCAATTTGTAAAGATCTTGTTTTAGTTCCAAAAATCCAACAAGGCTCTCTGGACTACACAGTTATTGGCTCACCTCATGGAAAGACCTCATGTATCTAGGGATCCTCAGAAGAGCGATCAGTTGCCCATCCTTTCCAAGTTCCAGAACAGTAGCTGCCTGTAGAGTCCATATTTATAAAATGACTTAACAGAAGAGACAGGTGGTTGGGTTTTTTGTAACTTTGATACTAATTTTCAAATAAAACAACTTTATTTTTTCCCTTTTTATAAAAGTATACTGGGTTTTTTTGTTTGTTTTTGTTTAATACAAAAAGAACAGAACAGAGAGATAGCAAGAATTTTTAAAAACCCACTTTCTTGGACTTTTTCTGACATTTGGAGAGTATTGGTAGCAGAAAGGACAGCAGGTGGAAGGAGGCGTGTCCTGGGAGTTTAGGAAGAAAAAGGCAAGTAAGTCCTCTGAGAGGCAATGAGAATGGAGAATGGACAACAGACCCCAAAAAAGATAGTGCCCTCCCCTGGCAGCAAAAAAAGGCCCAGGCACACACAAAGAAGGGATGGGACCAGCTAGATGAAGCAGTTACAGGGACCCCATGGAGGGGGCGGGGCGGAGCAGGTTGGGGCGGGGCGGGGGCGGCTGTCTCTCTCAGGGATAGAGCGAGAAGCGGAGACGATATACGCCGAAAGAGCAGACTATAGCTAGTCCGCGCGATATTAGAGACACTAAAGGAAAGCAGCTCTAGTCGATCTCTCGCTCTCGATCTCGATCGACTTCACTCGATTTCTCATGTCCTCTCTCTCTCATTCTCTCACTCTCCTTCTCTTCTTTCCTCTCTCTCTCTCTCTATCTCTATCTCTCTCTCTCTCTCTCTCCCTCCCTCCCTCCTCTCTCTCTCTCTCTCCTCTCTCTCTCTCTCTCTCTCTCTCTCTCTCTCCCTCACGCCCGCGCCTCGCTCCAGCGCCCGACCCCGGAGGCCCGCGCCCTTCCCGGTGCAGCTTCCGCGGCCCCGAGGGCAAGGGCGGGCAGCCCCAGGGGCAGCGGCGGCGGAGCACGTGAGGGGCCCGAGCGGCGCCCGGTATGGGGGGGGGGGGGGGGACCACGCTCTCCGCCCCACAGGAGGGGGTGGCGGGGGGGAGGGGGGGGGGGAAAGGAGCGGACGGCTGGGGAGCCTCCGGGGGTTGGAGTCGGGCTGCTCGGGGGACGCGCCTCGGAGACGGCGAGCTCCCGCCCCGGTGCGCCTGCGGAACGGAGCTCCCGGAGGCCGGGCGGCCCCGCGACGGCCGCCCCGCCCCGCCCCGCCCCTCAGTGGGGACCTCGGCGGCCCGCGGGGGAGGGGGTCTAAGCGGGGGGCACCCGGGGGCGGGGGGGGACCAGTGGGGCTGGGGGGCCGGGGGCGGGGGGTGCCCGGGAGGGGATGGGGGGGGGGACCGGGGAGGGGGCGGGGCGGACGCAGCGCGGGGCCCGCGCTCTCCGCAGGCCCCGCAGGCCCCGGGCCGGTGTGGGCAGCGCCATCGGGGGAGCCGCTGCGAGGACAGGCCCCGGTGGGTGCGGGGCGCGTGCTGGGGGCGGGGAACACCGAAAGCCCTGAGACCCCAAGTCCTCACCCACCCCCATCCCGTCCTCTGTTTTGGTGCCTCAGGAGGCCGGGCTTGGATCGCAGGGAAAATGGTGGGTTTGGGGCGAGGGGAGGGAGAGGAGGGGGGGAGCTGGGGCTGGAGGCCCCCCAGGGGGCGGAGGGAGCCTCTCAGGTGGGGAAATGTCATTTTAAAAAGTGTTTGCAATTCAGGCCTCTGAGTCCTGAAAGGTGTGTAGTAGGGCTTTTGTCCTCAGTGCTGATCAACCCATCAATGAAGTTGTCCCTTCTATCTCTTGTCTCCTAGGAGCAATGGCGTCCGGAGAGGAACAAGTGGCTAAAAACCTCAACGTGGAAGATGCCCAACAGGAAAACGAAGGAGGAGACCAGGTCCCTGTGCAAAATGAGGAGAAATCATGCCATTTGGGAGGAGGCGAAGCCCAGAAGCCTCGAGGAAATGTCAGGCTGGGGTGGGTTAAGCGACTTGTCCCTAATTTTCGTTGGGCCATATCTAAAGAGCGTGTCGATCACATTGAAGTGAGAGATAATAGAGAAAAGATGGCAGTGCAGCGGATGGAAATCAGGAGAAAGACTAGAGAGCAGCAAATGAGACATGTTACACGCTTCCAAATTCCTGAACCTGATAATCACTATGACTTTTGCCTTATACCTTAAATCCTAAGGTTTTCACTGAGGTTAATAATGCGGTCTCTGCTACAAAAGCTAGTAGTTTTGTGATTTACTTTTCTGTAAACCTTTTGATGTTTCCTCTTACTAGTTTCTAATTGAATAATGTTTTTGTCTCAGTATAAAACTCTCTGTCCAGCAAGGCAATTCCACCCAGTTTTTTTTTTTTAAATATTCTTTTCATGATGTATTGTAAATTAATAAAGCAGCTTAAAAATCAATCTTCCTATTCTACCCGGTTTTTTTTTTTAATTCTTTGTTGATATTACTTTTACTCTCCTAACTAGCTGGACTCAGAATCTCAGTCAACTTTTACTACTTTTTCTTGCCCTCTACCAATCAGTAAGGAGGGATTCTACTCAATTCAACATCTGATACCATTTTAAAATTGTGCTTCCTACTGTTTTCAAAGAGTAATGAGTCCATCTGCATAAATGCATTGATGGGGGAGCTTTTTAACAATGTAAGACCTCCGAAGCTGGTTTGGCTCAGTGGTAGAGCGTGATCTGCGGACTGAAAGGTCCCGGGTCCGATTCAGGTCAAGGGCATGTACCTTGGTTGTGGGCACATCCCCGGTAGGGGGTGTGCAAGAGGCAGCTGGTAGATGTTACTCTCTCACTGAAGTTTCTAGCTCTCTCTCTCCCTCTCTGTAAAAAAACGATAAAATATATTTTAAAAATAAATAAATAAAAGAATATAAGACCTCTGGCTCCTATCTTCCAGACTGGAGCTCAAGAATCTCCAGTTTTTAACAAGCTCCTTGGGTAACTGTATTGTATAACAAAGCCTGAGGGCACCATTTTGTATATGTATGTAGCTTTGTACAGATGTGTATATATTGGTATATGTATGTATGTGTCTACATAAAGCCATATATTGTCATATTAAGTGTAAACAAGTAGATAACATAGCATGAATACTTATTTGAATTCAATGGGCAGAATACATTAAAAGGGAATTATAAGACCTTAAAATAGAATGATTAATAAAGTGGCAGATGAGGGTACTGGAGTATAGAGATGCTAAGTACCAAGGCTACCACCTACTGTAGATCTTGGGAGAGATGATCTGGCCTGGGCCATTTTTTTATACTTTGTCATCTGAAGATGCAGAATATTTGACTTATAACTAACCTGAGGAAAATCAAGAAAGACCTGGCAAGACGGGCTGTTTTTTAATATTTTTTCTATACATTCCCAATGCAGACACTAATATTTTTAGAATACAGCAGAAAGAAATCCTAAAGACCCTTCAAAGTGAGGATTGCCCCCCATTATAGCTATTGAAATCAACTTTGTGGGTCATAACAAACAATTAAAAAAAGACCCTGGCCAATGTGACTGGTTGGAGCATATTTGATTCCTGTCCTGGTTGGGAGTGAATGCAGAGAGGCCACCAATTGATGTGTCTCTCACATGGATGTTTTTCTCTTCCCTTCCCACCCTCCCTTCCACTCTAAGAATCAATGGAGAAAAATATCCTTGGATAAGGATTAACAAAAAACAAACAAACAATAATAAGCAATTTTTAAAAAAAAAAACACACAATAGGCCTTGGTCAGTGTCGCTTAGTTGGTTGGAGTGTCATCCAGTACACATAAGGGTCGCAGGTTTAACTACCTGTCAAGACACATACCTAGGTTGTGGGTTCAATTCCTGATGAGGGCACAGGCAGGAGGCAGCTGATAGGTTTTCTTCTCACATCGATGCTCCTCTTTCTCTTCCTTTCTAAAAGTCAACAAAAAAAGCATGAAAAGCCTGGCCAGTTTGGCTCAGTGGATAGAGTGCCGGCCTGAGGATTGAAGGGTTTGATTCCGGTCAAGGGCACATGCCTGGGTCACAGGCTCGATCCCCACTGTGGGTATGCAGGAGGTGGCCAATCCATGATTCTCTCTCATCGATGATGTTTCTATCTCCCTCCCTCTCCCTTCCTCTCTGAAAGCAATAAAAATGATTTTTAAAGCTTGAAAAAATTTTAAACAGAAGAATAGAACAAAAAAATTAGAGTCCCTAATTGATGAGCAGTGCAAAGAATTGTTTTAAGAAACTTGTCTTAGTTTTACATGGAGGAAATATTGTCACCTTGTGGTATTTCTAACTGTACATCACAGGGTAAAAAAACAAAAACCTGAAAGTCACTTTTTCAATCCAAACATCATTTCACAAATAAGGAAACTAGGGAGGAAAGTGGTTTTCCCAAGGTCACACAGTTAGTGGTATAGCTGGGACCACAATTCCCATTTCAGCGTACTTGTGTCCTCACACAGTGTCTTCACAAGGCATGATTTGAGATTCTTGCCATGTGTCATGATTACCAGTGATATGCATAAACAAACATGTGCAACTTATATAAAAATACTGTTTATTTAATGTTCACCTCTGTCAGAATCCTTGCATGTTTGTTTGAGAAACACGTTTAGAAAGGACTCTGTGCCCCTTATAATATTTTGGAGTTAGAAAGATCTTGCATCTCTGTCTGGACATGCAAGGTGGTGAACTCGTAGGCACTTTTTGTTGTTGTTAATCCTCACCTCAGGGTATTTTTTCATTGATTTTTAGGGAGAGGGGGAGCGGGAAAGATAGAGAGAAACATAAATGTGAGAGAAACACATCGATTGGTTGTCTCCTACACAAGCCCTAACCAGGGCCCAGGCCAGGTGCATACCCTTGACCAGAATCGAACCCAGGACCTTTTGGTCCACAGGCTGACGCTAAATCCACTGAGCCAAACTGGCTAGGGCATAGGCATTTTTTAATAGCTACGTGATTGAATGATGTTCATGAATGGGCTTTTGGTCACTCTCAGTAAGTGGTAAAGGTCAGAGAAAAACGTTACAATGTGATTGGTAAAAGGAGAATTGAATTAAGACCCTTCCTCCTGGTTGTTTATCTGATGGTGGGGATGCATATAGAGCTTTCTAAAGTAGTAAAATTTAGGGACAATGATCAGAATATAACTGAAGGAGAAATTAAGGAAGCACCCTTTCCTGAGTGGTTTTGCAAGGTTGGAAAAGTGAGGACAGACTTTGTGGAAAAAGTAAAAATTTAAAAGAAAATTGAAGATCGCTTCTCGGCCTTTTGGTTAAGATCAAGTGTAAAAGAAAATTGAAGAAAAACTGAGTTAGCACATTGAATACTTTTATTAACTTACTAGAGGCTGGTGCCTGAAATTTGTGCAAGGGGGTGGTCCCCTTAGCACAGCCTGCACCCTCTTCAATCTCGAAGGATGTTCGACTGCCCTGTGGAATTGGGCCTAAACCGGCAGTTGGACATCCCTCTCTCAATCCGGGAACACTGGCTCCTAACAGCTCACCTGCCTGCCTGCATAATCACCCCTTCCCCCGCTCCCAATGATCTGATTACCCCAACTATCCCCTCTGCCGGCCTGGTTACCCCCAACTGCCCCCTCCCCGACAGTCTGGTTGCCCCTAAATCCCCACACACACCAGCCTGGTCACCCCTCACTGCCCCCTCCTACAGGCCTGGTCACCCCTAACTGCTGCCCCCACCAGCCTGTTCACCCCACACAGCCTGCTATTCAGTCATTTGGTCATCCCTCACTAAACACTCTGCTGGGCTGGATGCCCCACACAGCCCCCTGCTCAGTCGTTTGGTCGTGCCTCACTAACTCCCCTGCCAGCCTGGTTGCCCCACAGAGCCTGTTTGGTCGTCCATTCAGTTGTTTCTGTTGCAACGGTCACTTAGGCTTTTATATATATAGATACATCTCATGGGAGTAACTACTTTTCCTGAACATGGTGGGCAGTACATTGTGAGTTTTTAAGGATGAAGAGGCCTGTAAGAAAATAAAATGAATCTCTTACGAAAACAAAAGTAAATCAACCAGGAACAGCAAAAGGGCTTAACACATTCATCCACATGTCGTTTAAATATTCATGTTTGTAAACTTTTTAGTTTCTTGAAGAAAATATGTTTTTAGAGGGAGAAACCGAGATGGCGACATACCCTGTTTCCCCAAAAATAAGACAGTGTCTTATATTAATTTTTGCTCCCAAAGATGCGCTAGGACTTATTTTCAGGGGATGTCTTATTTTTCCATGCGCTAGGTCTTATTTTCGGGGAAATGTGGTAGGTAAAAAACCTGAACTTGCTGCCTCACACAACCACTACAAAACTACAACTAAAAGACAAAACAGGTATCATCCAGAATCACAGGAAGGCTGACTGAGTGGAAATTCTACAACTAGATGGAAAGAGAAAAGCACACTGAGACTCAGAGGAAGTGCGGAAGTAAAGTGTAGAGGTATAGAGGTGTGCACACGGAAAAGGCTGGCAACTGATGATGCAGTTGTCTTTTTTAATCAGGAGGGAGATACAAGCTCCCAACTGCTCTGAACTACAGTTCTGGGCAGGACTCTGGGGATGCAGACTCATACGGGGAAAAACTGGACTGACTGGCATCAGGCAGAACTCGAGGGTGGCTTTCTCTCTGAGATACTTGCAATGATCATTGTTGCTGCATGGTGGCATGGGACACAGAAACACAGGACCTGTTCCAGGCAGGGCTGACAGTCAGCCATTGCTGTTTACTTGACCCTGGTGATTCCCTGAGACCCCACCCAATTTGTGCGCAGAGACTTTTGCATATGAATGGCCTGGCCATTTGCAATCTGAAACTTAACAAACTGCAGTTTGGTCAAAGAGCCCCAGAGCCTCCAAAATAAGACCCAAGACTCAACAGCAGCTTGCATTGCTTCACAGCTGGGCCTCATCTGGGCACCTCCAAACCCCAAACAAAGAGGAGGAATCTGCAGCTCTCTCTGTAGCTCCTGCTGGGTGGCTTCTCTCCTTGGAGATCCAAGAGCCACTGTACCCAGTGGTCAGAGAGAGATCATCCAGACTACAACTCTTCAGATCCATAAGAGACACACTCAGGGGGCAGACTCAGTGAGTGCCAGAGCTCCACTGAAGTAAGTCTTGCCTCATAAGGGTGTCTCCAGCACAGAAGTTCTCCCAGTGTAAACACAACTGATCCTCACAGCCAATTGGCCTGGAGGTCAATTCCTCCCAGTGATACCAACAACAATCAAGGCTTTGCTCCAATAAGACTGTGCACACAACCCCCAAAGGGGTACACCAAGAGTGTCCACCTCAGGTCATTAGGGAGGCTAAGCCAATGAGCAAAATAGGACACCTAGCATACAAAGCCACACTATCAACACAGGGAAGCAGCCAAAATACAGAGACAAAGAAACAG